GAGACGAATTAACTGGATATTATCTAAAATATCTAATGTTTATTTCCCATTTAAAGCTTGTTTGTTGTAAAATAATATAAAAAACCATCATGACAAGCAATCGAAATTAAAAGAATTGAAGGGGGAAAAAAACCTATCCACGGAAAGTACAAAGAAAAAGAAAGAAAATGCGCAAGCTTTAAGAACAGTGATAAAGATGATTTTGTAATTTTGTACTCATTAATATCTCAATTTTTTATTTATAATGGCGTTTATTCTTCTATATCTAAATTTTGGGTATTTTGCTTTAAATACTGACTTAATTGATGTAATCAAATAAATCCATTCTACATAAAAAACTGCCTGAACTTACTGGTAAAATATTAACAGAACTTTTCTGTTTTGTATTTTGGTTATTGCTCTTTTCTGTATTTTTTCTGTTTTTTTATCATTACTCCTTAATCTCGGTTTTTAATTACTATGCACGATGTATACGGAATTACCCTACTAAATCAACAATTTATGGTACATCCAAAGTAAATTTTTACCATTTTAAACATATTTTTCGTAAATAAGTACTTATTTGGAAATATTTATAGCATTAATCTTGAAACTAACTACCTTTGGAATCTTTTCGTGGCCATTGTGAATGTTTTTATGACTTCGTAATCTACTGATATTTCAAAGTAACCACACGTTTAATTAATTCTGTTTAAATATGTTTTAAGTCTTTTCGGAGTTCATGAAACAACAATTCATTAATTGTAATGTAGTCATTTTATTTAAAATAAAATCATGAAACACGTTTCCTAGTTGACGATTCACGATATTTGTTATGTGATATAAATGAAAAGTTTAACCCGCGAGCACACGCACCGAACCGACGAACACGAGAACACGCGCCGTGTATGTCATACCCGAATAAAAAAATTGTAAATAAAAATTTGCCGAAAAAAATTAAACGGTTTTTTAAAAAAAAATTAAAATGTAAAACCAAGTTAATACTTCATTTTAGACAAAGTAGGAAACAATAAAGTGAGGAAAAATTATTTACTTACAATTTTTTGAACATTGTTTACAAAAGGAGGTTATATGTTCCATACATATACTTTTGCTACAATTTTTACAAATGAATCTAGTCTTTCTATCTTTTTTCTTGGAGCACTCTGTACACCTCTTGTAAGTCATTTTAGGTTTTTTGGAGGGTGGTCCATTGTTAACATGTTCATCGGTGGTCAGTGTTTCATCCAGAATCAGGAACCACAGATGCTCGTCGTCGTTCATTTCGAACATTTTCTATTAGCTGCATCCCTAAGGCTTTGAGAAAAGTACTCTTCCCGTTCACGTGTGGTGAAATTTTCTCGTATTGAATAAATATAAATATTTGTATTGTATCAACTACATGTTTTAACATATATCTTCATCGATAAGCAATGACAAGGACTCTAATGGTGTTGAGACGTCTTTAGAATACTTTGTATTTCCAGAGAGAGTTTAGTTATAATATTTTGGCGCCAATTCTAACATTAGTCCGGAATTTACTTTTTTCCATTTTACTCCATTTTTTTCCAACATAGAACTCATTGCTACATTCCAGAGTTTCATTTTCTGTTTCTGTATCTAAATCACTACTCTATATGGATGGATCATGATTACTAATTATATTCTTCGTCATCAACATCTTCCTCTTCTTCACTAAATGAATCCTCATAAGAAGAAACTGTTTCAAGGAGATTTCTCAATCTTTTCATCTCTTCACCGTAAGGAATATACGGCGAAACCTTATACTAAAAGCTTGAAAATGAGAAGTGCGAAGTGACTCACTGAGAAACGCCAGTACACGCGCGGGGGGTATGACATGCCCGAACAATGCTGGTCCTAAAAAACCGTTGCACTTGCCACCTCAGGAATTTCCCCCATTTAAGTATGTGACCTTGATCTCAGCTACACTAAGTTTCGTCCTTTTATGAAAGAATGGGCGAGAAATATACAAAAAGAAAAATGTACATGGGTATGACATACCCGCCGCGTGAAAATTGTAGCAAAAGTATATGTATGGAACATAACCTCATTTTGTAAACAATGTTCAAAAAATTGTAAGTAAATAATTTTTCCTCACTTTATTGTTTCCTACTTTGTCTAAAATGAAGTATTAACTTGGTTTTACATTTTAATTTTTTTAAAAAACCGTTTAATTTTTTTCGGCAAATTTTTATTTACATTTTTTTTATTCGGGTATGACATACCCGGCGCGTGTTCTCGTGTTCGTCGGATCGGTGCGTGTGCTCGCGGGTTAACATAAACATGCAAATATTTATATATTAATAAAAACTTTTCACGGCGTTAAAATTAATAAATCTAAGAGTACATTTTTGGATGATGCATATGTATGTCAATTGTTTTTGCAAGAAATGACTACTTTCTGGCTTATTTCCTTTCGGCTCTATCAGCAGTCACCGATATACACCTGAGCTTCGACATCCCTCTTCATTACAAGCGGCATTTTATCGAATTGTATTTTCAAAGTAGGTGGGGGTAGATTTTCTAACCTTAGTATTTCTAAGATTTATAAAAATTGTCTTCGAGTAATTGTATTGTATATAATTTTTAAACTGCTATTGTATGTAATTTTCTAGTGTCATCTTGTATGTCTAACTGGGCATTAATTTTTATGTTCCTACTTTTTTCACAATTTATCGTTCCAGATGATTAGATTTTCAAACTTTTAAGCTTTTTTAAGAAATGTTTAAAAATGCTTAAAAGTTTAAAAAATGCGTTTTTTATAAAGAAGCTAAACCAAACGTAATTCTAAGTCAAAATTCTTATTTCATTCGTTAAATGTCTTTATTCGGTAAGCTCATCCGGTAGTTCTGTAGTATGATTGCTTTATTCAGCAGAAGACAGCCTCGATTACAATGTAATGATGAGAAATGCTAGGAATAATTTAAAAGTTTTGAAACAAAATTATTACTTTTTAGTCTAAATAAATCTAAAATTATCTAAATCACGTAAGAAATCCTGTCTCATTCGTTATAATACTTAACCTAGCCCTGCTGTGTTTCAAAAAAATTGAATGATTAAATATCTTTAAAACTTTAGTTGCAGAACGATTGCTCCATTTTAAGAAATGAATTAAATAATATAAGCTTTCAAATTCCAATATTGTTTTTTCACATGGCAACTTTTAATAAAAATATAATTTACTGATACTAATTACACATAATTTGAATTTTAAATTCCTTCTTGCAAAAGAAATTGTCCAAGTAGGAATATGCTTTCGAAAATAATATGTATATCATTTTCTGAAAAAAACCTATTCTGTAATATAAAGAATAAGATTGAAAATACTTAAATTATGTGACGTAAACATTTCTTGACTGCAGGAAAGTGTGGACTTTAGAAGCTGAATGAAATTAATATGCATGAATTACGTTACAAAATAAAAATACGTCTAAATTTAAGAATCTGAAGTCGCTATTTATATATTACATACGTGTGTGTTTCTGTGTAGTCAGCGTTCTAAGGTGTCTAAATTCACACTTTAATTAACGTAGTACATAATTAATCAAGTGCAATCAATTTGAAGTTCTTAGTTTATTTGGCGCTCAGCTTTTTTGAGAAACATTGTGTGCATTTAGACATCACAGTAATAGACTGTGTAGTTTAGGAATTATAACAATATCCCGGTTTATATTCTGGAAGAAAAGAGGTTTTTTATACAGGCTCAGTCATTTGCTAGAAAAAACACCCTCTATCATACGGCCGAACCCATCAGTAATTTATCTATGATCATCACCGGGAACATTTTGCGTACTCGACTAAAAGAGGTAGTTCGAAATTACACTCGCGAGAACGGTGGGGACATACATATAGAAAAACGCTACATGGTACATGGAAGTGAAGCTGGGAGTGATTTTGGTTTCGAATTAGTAGTCAGCCACTTTTAACCGTTAATAAATCTAAGAAGTTTTTTTTATTAAAGCAATATGTGTTGTGACTTATCATTTGCCTTGCAGTGAAATCAGAACAAGCCAACAAAATTCATCGTGGCAAGCAGATCAAGATTGCTTTCATTAACAAGAGCTTTGAGTAGTTAAATCATACTGTCACCTTTAAGGACAGGTGACACTATGACTTAACTCAGTTCAACCCACAGTTTTAAGAAGAGCATCTCGGAGGGAGGGGTCGAAGGGTTTTCCACAGACCCCTTTCCCTACCAGCAGCCTCTCGAGAGATTTTTCAGCTCGCCGCATATTTAGAGTGCTCTCATGCCACAGACACTATACATTTACATACATCCATGCCTTCTCTGGAATTCGAACCTGAGTTCTTCGGTATCGCAGTAAGCTCCCCTAACCTCAATATGGTCTAGGCGGCTTAAAGCAATGGACAATGATCCGAAACTGATTTTTGTACATTACTGAACTCATCAAATGTTCGTAAGACATCGCTGTTATAAAATTCTGATCAATAAGTACTGTTACTATTATTTGTTACAAAAAATATTGAATGTCTTAATTTTGAGTAAGCTGCAAGATCTCCTTTTTTTTCAGAACTAAAATCTTTAGGAAAAGAGCTCTAACATATAATCATTCGCATGGATGAGACTCACGTTTATAAAATAAATCATTTATTTGTTCTCCTTACAAATCTTTTAAAATTTTTTTAAAACTTCTTTCTACTTGAATGGATATCCTTGTCGTTAAATTGATAAACAATGAAATGTAATAAGATCGTACAAAGATTTTGTTTCTTTTTCATATTACAGTCCCTAAGTCTTTGTTACAGGAAGAAATAAATCTTTTCTTTGAGATGCTGCAACTCCACATGTAATGATCCAAAATCTTAAAATTTGGAAAGTTAAGATGATCTTGTAGTACAAAATACACATTTTACTGGAACAGTACTAGAAAATATTATATTAATATAATTGTTTGTTAAAAGAAATTAAATTAAGTCTTTTTACAATATAAATCTCAAGTATTTTAATTATGTATATAATCAATCTGTAAAATCATTACTTTTTTTTCCTAAGCAGGAGATGACGAAATGTGCACCTTGGCCGGGACTCGAACTTGGGACATCTCGAATATGCCTCGAGTGTGCTACTGTTTCACCGCGAAGGCATGCTGGGAGGAAGAAGCAAATACCTTACATACTCCCCCTTTTAGAGAGCAATTGGAGATTAGGAGATCCAGTCGCCAAATCCTGGTGGTGACGAATTATCTCCCCCCACCTTTTAGTTCGGGAGCCAGTTGTAGAGTCATTCAGTTATTTTGAAGCAGGAAATACGAAAAATGTGCAATACCCTAGCTACATCTCGAACCTGGTCCTCTCGAATACGCGCCATTACATCACGAAGGCATGCTAGAAGGAGGAAGAAAATACCTTATAAATCAATTATAATTTAAGATTTAATTGCACTCATTTGCGCCATGTCAACTTTAATAAAATTGTAAAAGTAACGAATTCTGAGGAACACATTTCAAATGTATTACATATAGAAAAATGGTTTTATTGTAAGTGCTTATATAGCGTCATGTCATTTTTTATTTTCCTTTATATGGGTAAAATAAAAATTGACATGATACATTTTTCTTGCAATTTTACAGTTTTTAGGCTCGTTTAGTTTACCTAAAACGAAGTATTTTTCTTAAAATACTAGTAATTCATAATGAATTAAAACTTTTCAATGTATATTGAAACACATATTTGTATTTGTAAAACAGAATAGTCACAGTTACTTGGTACTGACAATGAGTGACACTTAAAAAGCAGACGTGGAGCTCCGTAAAACGATTATTCGTTCCGCTAATTAGGTGAAGAGCCCATATTTGCTTAAATAAAATAGTTTCTGACAAGATGCTTGCAAATGTACAAGGTTGCCATAAAGTACTGAAATCATTTCAGTGACGAACAGTAAGCTGGTTAAATAATCTATTCAGTTACATTATATATATATGTTACATTTCGAAATTTTTCAATTAAGTACCCCTTTTGTGTCATGCACATTGTTCTAGCCGTTATTCAAATTCTCACAAACCGTTGCACAGCATATCGGAAGTAACATTTCAATGATTTCCGTCCGTAACCGAAGCGCAGCAACCCCACCTGATTTAATTATGGAAGAATAGTCTTTAATAATCAGATATATATAAAAAAGGTTCATTAAGTTAGGTATGAAAAGAAATCTGTCAATATTATATCGGGATATCTATCTCTAACTGCAAATCCATCCAGGTAATATTCCTAAGATTTTTTTAATGTGGAATTTATATAAGAGCAACGCATTATGATGCAGTACTAAACGTGAACAAGAGATTACGAAATTTATTAGATCAATAACATGCAAAATCCTAAGGAATTTATTCCGAAAAATTCAGTATTGACCGGAATATTATGTATAATTTTAAAGAAGCTGGCTGTAAATAGCTTTAAATTTAGCGTTTATGCCCGAAAGATTGCCCATTTATATATGATTTGATACGTAATGGACATATTCTTTTTAAATCTTCCATTATTCGTCTTAGGAAGAAATACGGAGATTTCTTACAAACCTGTGGTTTCGTCAATTTCAAAGTTGTAAAAACGCCTTTGATATTTGATAAAACATTATGCAGCAGGAAATGTTTTATGAATACACCCGAGCGTAACTCTGATCTCAGAACGAATCTAACATCTGCAAAAATTCAAGAACAAATTTTGATACCGATAAAATATAATGTAGTAACGATACTCTTTCTGTTCATGCATGCTTTGTCTGCAAAAACTACATTGTCTACGTTTAACAACAAAACCAAATTTTGAATTCTCGAAAATCCCAGAAAAATATCACGGTAGCGATGAAAAATCTGAATCGCAAATATGTGAAAATTTCTGAAAAAGTTGTTATTCTCTGTTCTTTCTGTTACGTCATTTTGAGATATAGATAAATATATGAGATTGCATGATGATGCTAACATTGAACCAAATCTCAAATAAATTAAACTCAAATCAGTACAGCAGCATCGAAATTGTAGAAATTATGAGGGGTAATTTGGATGCTCAGGATACCTGATTTAGGAGGAAAATCCTTGAAAGATTCATAACCCTATCCCATTCAAAGCTAAAATCTTTACATCATACTCTAGTATTTCTAGTATCCCAAGGGCCAACGCTTTTCCTATAATATGAAATATATTAATATTTCAAACTACATTTATAGTTAATTAAATAAAAATCCAAAATTTTACAAATCTATAATCTACTATTAATGCATCCCATTACGAACTTTATGTACGTATTGTAAAACATAGTTATGTTGATATCATGGTATTGTAATTCTTGGAAAATATACTTTTGAACAGAGTTCAACTTATCTTCACATGAACATGACTTTAAATCAGTTTGATCATTTTAGCTTGGAAAACATCTTCTTCGCTGTAGTTACTCATATTGGAATTTTATAAAAGATTTGTACTGTTAAGCATATGTTCAAATACATATGTTCAAAAGAGTACTGATGAATGCAAAATATCTTTTCAAGCATTTTCCGACTATTTCAGGAATATGATCCTAGAAGCTGCACAGTTATATAGCCATTTATTCTTCATTAATACTGGATTAATAGCTGCTCACTATACCTTCAGCGTACATTTACTTACAAGTTACAAATTTTTATTGTTTTCCATTAATCAGCTTCTATGCAATGCATCAAGATCATAAAGGAATCATTAGAATTGCTGCTCACATCATTACTTTACAGAAGAAAGGGCTTGATACTGAAGAATGTTTCTTTTACTGCTTTTCTTAATACATCGAGGCTGAATGGAAATGAATTCTAATATCCTTGAATGCACATTCAAGGAAAATACGAGAGAAATACTATAACATCTACAGTTTCTAGGAAATTTCGAGCATCAAACAACTATAACGGGTCAAGAAAATTTCTACGTCGTATGAAAATCCGTTTCACTCTAATAATGAACAAGAGTATATTCGAAATTCTCATTCACAGTCCCCACACTTAAAGATGTAATGCACTATTTTAGTATTTTAGTCCTGTTACACGATAGGCATCAAATCCTGGCATAAATACCGACAAGGACATTGCAGATTTCTTTGGTTTCCTCGCCTCGAAAAATTCTAAAAGAACAGTACAGTTTTACAGATGCTAAGTGTATTCTTATAAGGTTATTCCAACTCCATGTACTAAGCGTCAGCGAAAAGGAAAGATGATCTGTGTTTTAAAGTATGCTTCAAATGAGTAGTGAAAGTTTTAAAACCTGAAGCTTTAAGTCCAGAGGGAAAAAAAACCTGTAATATTCATGTTGGTTGGGACAATGTCGATTATTCTGAATTGACTGGGCTGATATGTTTGAACACGAAAAATGAGTAAGCTTTTCGCCTGAAAATATCTTTTATGATTAAAAAATTACTAACAAAATTCGCACATACAGAAACATTTTCAGCTTGAACGTGAAGCTTTTTTCACTACTTCAATTTTGCAGCTGGAATAATAAGTTACACATTCTTTCATCAAGTACCTTTGTAAAACTAACTAATGGTTTGTTTTACAAAAATGTTACGAATTATTCCATGCTTCTGTTACATGTTGAAGTCATACCCAATCTTATGCACTAAACTCCGCATAAAACTCTTTCACATCATTTTTTAAATACATATTGGACTTAGCCTGATTTTTTATACCATTCCCACTTATAGTTATTAACGACGTTCGAAGGTTACCATGTTTATGGCTCTGTCGGAATTCTTAATCTGAATTCCGGTAAACCTACTCTGTAATAAAATAAATGCTGTATTTACTCGTGTGTGTACCTTCCCCTTTCTTAGTTTTGTTCCTCTTTTAGCACAAGGTTCTGAAAATGTTTGAAGTGTTTCAGTAATTTTCCTCTTTATCAAGGAGTTCAGAAAGCGAGCTTTCCGAAATTTATAAACTCAACATGCGCCGAAACAAACTCCCTAATCGTATCATAGTTATGGTACAGGAGAAAGACTGGATATGGTGCGAATTAATGAAACAGTTCTCGAAATTTGTATGGGCTCGTAGGTCAGATGATTTTCTGCATAAGACGTCACCGCTAGAAATAAACAACTCCTGTGCCCATCTCATAAAAGAAACAAATTAAAAAGGTACAGAACAAACTCCATTGCTGTTATCATTCCAGGAAGACATGCATCTCTTCTGCAACCACTGGATGTATTAATGAATAAATTGTTCAAAGACATATAATTAATGCATAAGAGCAGGGTTGCACAATTTTACTTGAACCAGAAAAATTTATAGACCTTCCATTAAATTGATTTGCTTTTGGATTTTGAATGCATGAGCTCTAATAGATGAAGCAATAATAATGAAAAAACTTCAAGAAAACAATGATGTCTTATGCTTTTGATCTTTATGAAGATCATTTCATGTGGGAATACAGATTAAACTACGGATAGGCGAAGATGCTGGTGACAAGGTTTGAAGGTGACTTGAAGTTTATAGCACACGACAGTCATTAATTCTAGCAATACTGAATCGTTTGAAGCCTAGAAAATGACAGTGAGCGACAATAATACCGAACAAAATTTAAGATGTAGGGAAGTAGATTGAAGATATTAGATTATTGTTAATGTTAGTATTATTATACTTTCTTATTAAAATGCAGATTTCTTTTACATAAATAAAATTATGATGGTTACCGGTAGGTTATGTATGAAATCTTTCAGTTTATTAGGTTCTTACTGTAACCGCGTTTTTTTCTGAAATTAAATTATTCACGTAATTTTCTCATCTAGAATTTTATATCATAAAATTAGTAAAATAAAAGGATTAAATATACGAGTAAATAATTAATTATCATTACGACAGTTAAAAGTATTTTGCTACTGATACTTATATATAGATTTATCACATGAAAATAGATAAAAAAAAACGTAGCATTCAACGAAATTATCGCTCTATAACGGCATCCGGTATATCTGATATTTTGACGTTACGGAAATTCCTATCGAATACCTAACTTCACTTTTGCATATCGTGATTTCCGATATTTGACAGTACAATAATATTTGAGTCAAAAAACAAATATATGTATTTTTTTTTTTTTTTTTTTTACTTTATAAACTTATTTTCTGCCTCTTCTAAAGTGAAGTTTCAAACGTTTAAACTATGCAGAATCTTTGAAATATTAATCATGTGTCAGAGAACATTTGGGTAAATATTAGCGTACGTTCAGCCCAAAATTTACATATTTTTGCGTGCGTATGGATTCATAATCGATTACTCGTAATACCGATGATAACTTACTATTATTTGTTTTAACAAAAGAGACACCTACAATTCCACAAAACTTTCCACAAAAT